AATCTCCTGTTGCCAGAGAAGCCAGAATTCATTGCTTTCCTAGACTTTGAGCAGTTGGCAGTTAATGAAAACTTAAAATGTGTAGGGCTGAGGTACAGCTAGCTCAATAGTAGCATGAGCCTAGTATTTGCCAGGCTCTAAGTTCTGTCTTTAGCACCCAAGGTGAAATGTGTGAGCTAAATAACTCCTCTTCAACCTAGAGAAGCTGTCCGCAGTCTGTAATCTGCTCATACCCACTGCTAGGGGTTGGGATTTCTCCAAAATATATGCGAGGAGATAAAGGCCCTGAATTTTGAGCCAGGTAGGCCTTTGCTCTCCAGTTGTGTGACCTCAGGCAATGGTGGATCTCTGGCTAAAGTTATTTTCAGCCTATGGGGCAAGTTTAAGAAGGATGTTGAACTCAGTGCTGCTGTTGCTGCCCAGCAAGGGCCCATGTGGCCAGTTAGTAGAGTGATACCCCATCAAGGGCCACCTGTTGTACTAGGCTGCCCTATAAAGCCAACAGGATGAGCCTCAGGTTCTTTTTCTTTTTTTTTTTTTTTAAGATTTATTTATTATGTATACAATGTTCTGACTGCATGTACACCAGAAGAGGACACCAGGTCTCATTATAGATGGTTGTGAGCCACCATGTGGTTGCTGGGAATTGAACTCAGGACCTTTGGAAGAGCAGCCAGTGCTCTTAACCTCTGAGCCATCTTTCAAGCCCCGAGCCTCAGGTTCTTATCGTTGAGTCATTTAGCAAAATGTTTGAATGTTTGAAGAGAGGTGTTTGCAGCAGTATACCTCAGCACCAGTAAACTTCCTTTCTGTGTACTGTGCTCAGACCCTCCTGTTCTTCCTGATGGTAATAGCAGAGCCAGGCTTGTTAGAGCTGCTGTGTGGAACAGACTCTGTGAGGAAGTGGTCATGAGCATTCCACAGGGTGCCTGACAGTATCTGCCCAGGGAGCTTATAGGCTGGGCTCTCAGTAGCCTTAGTGCAGTGGTCATGTTACATTCCTCAGGCCCTGGAGGTCCTGCAGATACTGGGGACTAAAACACAGTCCTGCTTCTGTGATGCTTACAGGGGATGGTGCAAGGTGGGGAGGACCCAAAAGGTGTGTGTGGTGGTACATGCCTTTAACCCTGGGAGAAAATGAGGCGGAGGAGGATCAAAGGCAGCCTGGCTAAATATAGCAGAACCCTGTCCCAACTCTGCACCCTCCCTACACACCAAGTTTGGTTGTTGGAGGTGGTTAGTGCTGTGAAGAGAAATAAGGAGCAGAAGAATTTGCATTTTAAATAGGGGCAGTGGGCAAGAGCCTCCCTGAAAGATGTATTTGATGAACAGAGAGGCACAAGATAACAAGTGACAGGGCATCCAAAAGGAGTGGAGGCTGAGGTGGTTTAAGAAGGAGACATCTGGGCAGGTGGAGGCTACCATGAAAGCCAGTTTGGCCTGAGTGTGAGTGCCTTCAAGGATGCAGGGAGGAAGAGGGCTTGTCTTTAAGGTTACTGTTGCTTCAGGGGACAAGGTGGAGCCAGAGGGAGTATTAAAGGGCTTTGGCAGTAGAATAGGAAGCAGGGGTAATGGACTGAGAGTGGGCTGTGTCGTGATACATTTGGGTGCTAGGTGTGTTGAAGGAAAAGCCTGAGGGAGCTACTGGTGGGTGGATATGTTGGAGAAATGAGCCATCTCTCAGATAATTCAAAGCCTCAGAAAGTGTAAGTTGGCGCAACCCAGCTGTGGCATTGGAGATGTCCGAGACAGTGAAGAGGTGTAGGGAGGCAGAGCATCTAAGGTAGAACTTTTATCTGGGTTTGGTGACCTATAATTTCAGCACTCAGAAGCCTGAGGCAAGAAGGTTACTGCAAGTTCAAAGCCAGCCTGGCTTTCAAAAGGAGATCCAGTCTCAAAACCAAAATGAAAGGAAAAGCTATCTGTGCACAAGGGGTGAAGTTACTGTCAGGCGTGTGGTGTTTACAGGCCAGGCAGGAAGTCCCGCTTGGTTATGTTGTAGCTGAGAGGTGTCTTGAGGAAGGCTGCTGTGTGTTGGTGGGAGGCTTACCCTTCAGATTGAAGAAAGAGAAGGTGTAGCCTGGTAGCAGGTAAGGAGGACATGGGTGGTAGTGCTGCCACTGCCTAGATGGGCTGGGGGTGGAGAGGGCCTGGTACGGTAGCTCTAGCCTCCCATAGTAGTTTCTGTTAAATTGGGAGACCTGCCTGGATTTTACATGCCTCTGGAGTCAAAACTAGCAGGGAGCTGTCCTTGAATCTGAAGGAGGACATGAGCTGGTGGTGAGTTTTGAGGCAGCTTAGGGGCAGATGAGAGATGTCAGGGCTGTGTTCTCAGTGTGAACGGACTCATTACTGAGGGCTGCCTGAGGGCGGTTGTCTGAGGGTAGTCATCTGAGGAAGGAGCAGGCAAAAGAGGTGTCTAGGGGCAAGGTGTCCAGGTGGGTGAGAGGTGGAATCACTGTCATGGGGTGCTTCATTTGAAGGAAGTAGAAAGGCTGAAGGAGATGTTCCCTGCTGTGGGCAGCATGGTTAGAAGGTGAAAGTGGATGGGGAGCTGGGTTAGCCTCAGGCTGTAGAGATTGCTGCTCTGTGGCCGGAGCCCTGCTAGGCCTGTCCTGTTCCCCTGCTTTGCTTGCATTGAAAGACCTGAAAAGCTGCATTAGTCAGGACAGATTTAGTCACCTGTTTTTATAAGCAGAGCTCTTGGAGCCAGCAGCACCCACACGGCCAGCAGCGGATGACCGTACACCCGTTGACACATAAATAAATACACAGCTTCCAGGACTTTGTTCCAGTGGGGGACTTGGTGTCCCCATTCAGCAGTCAGGAGGTTGCCACTGCTGCTTTGGCCGGCTCCTTGCCTGGCTAGGTGTTAAGCTGGGCTGCTCCTCTGCAGGACCTCCACAAAAAGTACTCCTACATCCGGAAGACCAGGCCCGATGGCAACTGCTTCTATCGAGCATTCGGCTTCTCCCACTTGGAGGCTCTGCTAGATGACAGCAAGGAGCTACAGCGGTGAGGAGGACGTATGGGCACTGGGGGCTCTGGGCCGCCCCTGATGAATAGGAGCTGGGGCCGTAGGCCAACCATCAGTTGGGCTGCTTGGGGGCTTCCTTTTGAGCTTGGTGGGTGTTCTTGTCGAGGTAGGGCTGGACTGGCCAGGGCCTTGCTCCACTGCCTGAGGAGCCCATTCTAGCTTCCCATCCCTTCCCACCCACAGGTTCAAGGCTGTGTCTGCCAAGAGTAAAGAGGACCTGGTGTCCCAGGGCTTCACTGAGTTCACAATTGAGGACTTCCACAATACGGTGAGCTGGCCTGTGTAGCGCCTGGCAGGGGGAGGCAGGCAGGGCAGGGCAGGCCAGCCAGCCCTGTCTGTAGAAGATGGCGTAGTGTTTGCTGGGCTAACAGGGAGGGTGGCCTCTTCTTACTCATCTTTTGTCCCTTGGTGGAGCAGTTCATGGACCTAATTGAGCAGGTGGAGAAGCAGACCTCAGTAGCTGACCTGCTGGCCTCCTTCAATGACCAGAGCACCTCAGACTACCTTGTAGTCTACCTGCGGCTGCTCACCTCAGGCTACCTTCAGCGGGAGAGCAAGTTCTTCGAGCACTTCATAGAGGGTGGCCGGACTGTTAAGGAGTTCTGCCAGCAGGTGCTATCTCCTCTCTGACTCTGCCCTGGGGCCCTCCTTTTCTCTTCTGTGTTTGGGTGGGGCATGCCAGGGTGAGTTGTGGGACCTGGGGGAGTGGTCCCGAGACAGGCCTGACCTGCGTCTATGCCACAGGAGGTGGAACCTATGTGCAAGGAGAGCGACCATATCCACATCATTGCACTGGCCCAGGCCCTCAGCGTGTCCATCCAAGTGGAGTACATGGACCGCGGTGAGGGCGGCACCACCAACCCACACGTCTTCCCTGAGGGCTCTGAGCCCAAGGTCTACCTTCTCTACCGACCTGGACACTACGATATCCTCTACAAATAGGGCCACCGGCCTGCTGTGCCCTGCCTGCCTCCCCCCGCCAGGCGCTGCAGGCGCTAGACATGTACAGAGGGTTTTTGTTCTTTTTTCTTTCTTTTTTTTTGTGGTTGTAAATGGTCATATTTCACTCTTCCCTTTTCCTGTCACAACTTTCCATGTTTTATTAAAGGGGATGCTGGTGGTGAGCCTGAGTGTGCGTTTCCCTGCTCTGCTGCTCTTCCCTACCTGCCCACTGGCTGCTGTGTGTCTGGCTGTCCCTTTCCCTGGGGTGGGTTCCCCAGCTTTCTACCTGTTTACTCCCAGGCACTCCTGCCAAGAGAATTTTGAGGGCTCTAGGCCCCCTCTTGGTTCTTTGGAGTTATGTTTTCTACCCATAAGGTCTGCCCCCTTTTTCCCTGACCTTCCAGGCGTCTCTGTGAGCTGCTGAAGTTCTTTGGGAACTTGGCCAGAGATCTCAGGTTGCCCACACTCAGATCTACCCCTTATAGACTTGCTACTCTGGCCAGGGTCCTACATCCCAGCTGCCCACCTTCAGGGGTCTGCATGACCTAGGAGTCCTGGGATGAGAGTTTTAAGGGAAGAGGCTGACCCAGGGCAGGTGGAGACGCTAGGCACCCACAGTGGGCCCCTGGGGGAGCTGACCTGTTGTCAGAGGAACATTAGGCCTCGTGTCTAGGTAGAGCTTGCCTGTTCCCTTCCCTGGAGCCCCTGCCTGTGCCTGCTCTGCACCCCTTTGCTTGGGCCATATCTGCATTACCTGCCTCTTTGCCTTCTCCTCTCCATCCCCAGCACATGTGGGGTCTCAGCCCAGGCTGTGAGCTCCTTGGGGGCAGGCCCTCAATAAATGTGAAGTGCTGCTGCTGCTGCCTCTGCTGTCTGGCCTGCATCTACCCTCATGGCTCACCCAGGGCCTTGGTAGCCTCTGGAAGCAAGAACAGCGGTGCCCAAGATACCATCCCCTCCACGGGCCACTTTCCTCTCTGGGCCCAGGCAGACCAGACCCCAGCATTCAGACAGTGAGGGCTGAATCAGACAGCTTTATTAGGCTTCTGAAAGGCAGGGCAGGACATACGAGGGAAAGGACAGAACCCCGTGGTGGCCAGGCTGGAACAAGCTGTCCGCTTCCGAGACTTCTCAGAGCTGGGAGCGAGGTCCCACAGGCCCAGGTGGGTCTGAGGGCAGAGCAGATATGTTAAAGGGAGTTGAAGACTTCGGAAAGCCCCTGAGCTCCCTCCCCAGCCTCACCGCCCCACTGCGTGGAGGTCGGCGAAGGCAGATTGAGCAGATGTTAGAGGGCTGGGTTAGTAGTGTAGGGCTGCCACACCACACTGGGCCAGGCCCTGCTTACCAGTCCTGTTCGGGGCGGGCTGTGGGAGTCAGGCTGGAAGGCAGAGGACAGTGAGAGCTGCCCCAGGGCCATGGGGAGGGGTAGGTCGTCCTGGGGTGGGGTGGGGCGAGAAAAACAAGGGCACATACCTGCTGGGAAATAATGGGGCAGGCGCTCTCGGTAAATGCCCTCATCCTTCTCCAGGAACACACAGATGATGAGCCGGTCCACCTGTGCCACGGTTTGCTCAGCCTGGGCGAGGCTTATGCTGGCCCCTAAGTCCTAGCACTGTTGGCTCCCCCAAGCTCCCCTACACTGGCAGGTGCTAGCCTAGCATGGGTGCACTGTCCGCCGCTGGGATTTGGAAATCCACTACCTTTCATGGAACGGGGAGTGAGACTGCACGGCCCTCCCTCCTTCCCATGGTTGTCTTGAGCCCCACCGAGGGAGTGGCCTCGCGAAGGGCAGGTGCCAACTGGCCATACCAGCTCATCACGAAGCTCCCCTGCTCCCGCCACAGATCTCACCTTGTCCTTGTGCTGCTCCAACCACTCCCGCAGCGCAGCCAGCACTACCTCCGCAGCCCCTTCGTTGGGGTAGCCTAGGGGCAGGGTCTGGTGAGTACACATCTGGCCCCGCCCACCTCCGTGGGTGGGTCCCCGTACTGCCCGTGCCCGGCCTTGCTTTTCCACTCACCGAACACGCCTGTGGAGATGCACGGAAAAGCCTAGGGAAAGGAGTGCGGGACGACACGGGGACTTAGTCAGTAGGTGCTTTCCTGGCCACCCCACTCCCCGCTGTAGCGACTCTTACCACGGAGCGCAGCCGGTGCTCCAGCACCAGGTCCAGGCTGCTCAAGTAGCAGCTGCGGAGCTCGGCTGCCTGGCTGGCAGTGGGCTCGCCCGCGGCGATGGGCCCCACCGTGTGGATGACATCTAGGGTGGAGTGACGGCTTCGGTCAGGTGGCCTAGGTCCTCCCCATCATCTCACCAGAAAGAGTCTACCCTTGCTGCACACACTTGTGCCTTCTCACCACACGATGCTGCTAGGTGGCGGAAGACCTTGACACTGCCCCTTGCTCACTCCCACTCACCTGCCCGCTGCAGCTCCAGCCCCTTTCCATCTGTAATCTCATGTGTCAAAGGGACCAGGCCCTTACACTTCAAGATGCCCCCTTGGGGCTGCGGGCAGTACCCCGCGTGCACTCACACTTGGCCGGCAGCCGATAGCCGCACGTGATCTTGGCTTTTCCGGTCTCACAGTTCTGCAGGGTGCGGCACTCGTCAGTGAGCAGGGGTCCCGCTGCCCGGTGAATGCAGCCGTCCACTGCGGGATACCAGGAGAAATGAGCTGTTGGGTTTACCCACACTGCTGAAGGATCGTGCATGATACCCCAATCCCGAGAAACTCGGAGGCTTTGCATCACAGTGTTCTCTCCAAGGCCCCCAGCTGCTCTTGTCACCCCTTGTTTCACATCTAGGGAAACTGAGGCTCCAAGGAGCTGCAGCGGGGCCCTGGAGCAAAGAGGCACGGGCAACCGGCAGGGGGCGCGCCTGGCCCACCCTCTTGGTTCTCTGTCCCGGATGCGCCATTCTGAAGTCACCTGTCCTTTCTACTCAGATCCAAAAATCTGGTGGGATCCCAAAGCCCACCTTCTGACAAGGCCATGCCAGTCTCTAAGCCTCATTTGATTCATTCTGAGGAACCGAGGCCTCCTAATTCCAAATGGCAGATCCAATCCGGGGCCTGAGCCTAGCTTTTCCAGCTCCTTCCCATTGGACCAGCCTCTCAGGTGTCTCCAGGCGCTGAAAGCCCTTGCGGAGGCAACCAGCAAACCCGTTAGCGTTAGCGCCTCCTGCTTAGCGGAGGCCAGGCTCGGGCTTGTTTATCCGAGGGAGGCTCTCGAGACTATCCGCCGCCCTGGGGACCCAGGCCCAGGTAAACAACTCTCAGTGCTCCGATATCCCAGAGCCAGCAGAGACCCAGAGGCAACTCTGCGACTGACTCATCCAGGTCCCATGCAGCTTTGCCCAAGCAGGTGGGGGCAAGGATTGGTTTGCCTCTGCCTGCTACAGACTTGCACCTGCTTTACCACCGTCTCAACTGCAAAATGGGGACAGCGGCCCTTGAGATGGGAGGGCTGATGGGACCTAGGCCTACCCTCCAGAAGCTCTACTGCCTGCCATCTGGCTGCACTGGCATCAGGCAAAAACCATTCTGGCTCCATTTTACAGATTCCTAACACAAGACCCTTTATCCTTCCCGCAGCCCCCCAACTTCTCGGTACAGGTTTAGGGCACAGCAGCTGGACACCCCCTGTTTCTTCTGTTTCCAATTAAACCTCATTTTCAACTTTCTTCAGAGCTGGCACTGGGTGGGTTCCCAGATTGGGGAACCCTGTGATCAAGGCAGGGTCTTCTAGCCCCCTGTCCTCCTCTGCAGGGGTCTGTAGAGCCAGAGCTGAGAGTCCACGCCTTGCAGAGCCTGTGTGAAGACTGGGCTCCACAGGCAGCACAGTACATCTGTTCTGAGTGGGACGCCACGGAGGACCCAGAACAGTACAGAAGAGCAGCGGCAGGGGTGCTGAGCAGCCTGAGTGATCGCGGGCACATCTAACTTCTGCCAGTGACCACCTCATAGGAATTGGAAAGATAAAATTCGGGGGTGGGGGGTGGGTTGTAGTGCCAGGGATGAAATCCTGGGCACACAGTCCACTGCTGAGCTACCCCTCAGCACTAAGAAAATTGACCTCTTGTCTTTTTCCTCTTATTTGCTGTTTTGATTTTTATTTGCACCTCATGATCTCATGTAGCTCAGGCTAGCCTCAATTTAAACTCAAACTAACCTTCCTGCCTCCACTCTGAGTGCTGGGATTAAAGGAGTACACCACTATGCCGGGCTCTAATTCTTTTTATTTTAATTTTTAGATATATTTATGTTACTTTATGTGTATGAACTATGCCTACATGCATGTATGTTCACAGTGTCTGCTGGATCCTCCTGGAACTGGGATTACAGATAGTTTCAAGCCACCATGTGTGGTCTGGGAATTGTACTTGGCTTCTCTGCAAGAGCAACAAGTATTCTTGGCCCCTGAAGTCAGGCTCTAATTCTTTTCTTTCAGGCTCTAATTCTTGCTAGTTAACCAGTGTTGGGCTTGATTGGGTACAAAGTGACTCAGCCCTTATTATAACTTGACAGTGTCAGGCTCACAGTGGGTCTGGGAGCCCATGATGTGAGGTGAGCACAGGGATTTGAAGCCATGATACTCCTGGGGCCTGTAAGCCGTGAGTGGCCACCTCAGCCTCCTGGCACTCCACTGCCTGCTCTTCCAGAGTGAAGCATCCTGCAGGTGACCTTGGCTGGCTGCAGGGTCATGTGGAGGTACGGCTTGGAAGATCTGTACTTCAGAGACTTAATGTTTCCTGCTCAAATGAACAGGCCTGCAGTCAGGCCTTGGGGGGACAGACCCGGGGGAGTGAGGACACAGAGGACTGGCAAAGGAGCCCTCTACCAACCTTTAGAGTTTGGACCACGTGACTGTGACTACTCTGTGAGTACTTACGAGGGACGGGCCCCGGCCACCACATCTATGTTACCTTCCCCCAAACAGGTTGGTCCTGGAATCTCTGCCTCAACTGCCTGGGCCTACTTCCCATCCAATCTCCTACCCATATATCAGCCTAGATGTCCCGTGGTGGTTTGCCTTTCACCTGGGCACAGTGTGGTGACTCACACCTTTAATCCCAACACTTGGGAGACAGAGGCCACTTATACTAAATGGTAAAGTCCTGCCTCAACAAACAAAAAAACAGTAACAACAAATGGGACTCGGTCCCTAGTCATCCCCCTGTCTACTAGGTCCAGGATGAGCATTCCTCCATAGGGGTGGAGCCAGTAGGCCGCCCTTCCTCCCCTTTGGACCTCCTTGCAGTAAACACCCAGGGTGCTGAGCCAGCCATTGATTGGCTTGTGGCAGCCCCACATCCTCCCCAGGAGGTGCTGCCAGGCCCTTCTTCATAGAAGAAACTGAGGCACAGATAGCAAAATGTGGCACAGATCACATACTGGCCACTGAAGGTTTAGGGGCTCTACTGGGACTAAAATGTGGCTACTTTTGCCAACCCCCGCCCCGCCAACCTCCCTACCCTCAGTGGGCCAGAGCTTATTTGCCTCTTGCAACCCTTTCCTGTCTTTTATGTTCCTGCCTCTGCCGCTCTTCACCCCTGCAGTCTACCACTATCCTCTCCAGAATCAACACATCCAGCAGAGTGTCGGCCCTGGGGACCCTTATCTCTCTGGACTGATCAGCTCATCCACAGGCTGTATACTCCTGCCACACACCAAGGCTCTCTCAGAGACACTAGCTCTTTCCTCCCTGGCCACTCAGAGCTCTTCTGTCCTAGGCCTCTCTCTTGCTGCTGCCCTCCCTAATCCCCACTACATTTTGCTGAACTCCTCCTGCTCCTCCTGTTGTTAGTCCCTCAAAGCCAGGGAGAGCGGAGGTACATCCCCCTGATAACTGTGGACAGACTTTTGCTCCTAACATTCGGCTGGGGACCTTTAGAAGACACCTCCCTTCCTGTCCCAGAATAATTTTCCCCAGCGAGGAGGGAGAGTGGGGCTGGTAGGAGCCTTCTCATGCCAGGGGCAGAGGTCTGGAGCCTGACCCTCTGCAGACTACCCAAGGCAGGCTCCAGTGAGGCCCACTCTGGTAAGGCACTGAGGACTGTTGGCTGCTATTTAGGGTGCTGTAATATTCATGAAGGGAAGATTAGATATTTAAATTTATTCAGCAATAAATGTGTCTCAGTGGGGGAGCATTCCTCATGCTAAACAAACAAGCGAGCAGGGGCTAATTAATTATTTACAGGAACAAGAGGAGCCAGTGGCCTAGGGGACACGGAGGGCAGCTGTACCCCTGCCAAAGGGTCAGATATCCCCGTTCCTTTCTGCCACTCTGTGGAGCTGGCCCTTTTACATCCCCTTTTGGGATTTCGCTCTCCAAAAAATTCAGGCCTAAGATTGGTGGTAGCTTTGGGTTAGTTATTCAACCTTTGTGAATCTCAGAGCCTAGGTGTCCAAAGATCTGTAGGGAACATTGATTTAGGCTGGGAGGTAGCTAGCAGGTGGGCAACTGAAAACCAGAGGAGTCAACAACTTTCCAAGCTCTCACAGCTGGAAGTGGAGCAGAAACCAAGGTTTCTATGGGTAGGCCCTGACTTACAAGAAGTGGAGGCAAAGGTTCAGAGACATAGCTCAGTCTCACAGAGCAAGAGAGGATTCTGGGTAGCTCTCATCCCTGTCTCCAGGGTACAGTCTTCCCTCTGTGCCTCAGTTTCCTCAATTGTCAGCAAGCCCTCCTTGCTTGGTGTGGGCATTTGGGAAGAGTCTGTTCCTTTGTTCATCACACTGTCAATGTTCCCAGGTACATTGCCCAGGTTCAGCTGGAGACCTCAGGGGCAGAGGGGAGGCAGCCTTCCCAAGACAGTACTTTCTGCCTAGATCAGTGGTCTGGCGGCAGCTGTTCTAGGCTAGACAGGGGCTGGGGGGGGGGATGTCCAAGAAGGCATAGGGGACCCTCTCCCCACCAGGACATCCAGTCCTGCTTGGGCTCCAGCCCGGGGACAGCTCACAGCAGCCACGCCAGATCCTGTGCACTGAGCCTTTCCCATGTCTTTTTCAGAGGAAAGCCCAGCTGGGCAGATGGGGAGGAGTCTTCAAGGAGTCCCAGCCATGGCAGATTTCTGAGCTGCTAACCTTTGGGCTCCCCCCCTCGAAGAGGGCTAGGAAGAGCCACTGAGGCCTGGAGTCCTTCCCTCCTGGCTTGCCCCACACTTCCTTCCTCTTCCTGGAGGGACGTTGTGGACCAAGACCCTGACGTTGCCCAGTCAGAACCCAGACAGCCTCCGCCTGTCCTCTCTGGTCCTTCATTCAGTGGACAGCCCCATGCCAGTCTCTGCTCCAGATGAGGCCTGTGCTGGGCCCAGGGAAGGACACAGAGCCCACCTTCCTGAGGCTGCATTCTGGAGGTGCCCAGTAGGGTGGGCACCCCAGGGAGAAGACGGATGGACGACATCACTGTGATGTGATCTGAAATTCATTACGGGGTGAGATCAGCTCCTTAAATGGGGATTTGAAAACATTAGGGCTCATTATGTACACAACCACGGTACCTCATTCATCATGCAAAATCACTCGTGTTATTAAAGATCTGCAGCAGCCGTGTGCAGGGCCTGGTGGCATCTTGCCTACTGGGGGCAGGGCATGAGTGCAGTGGCCATGAGGTGGGGGCCAGAGTTGCTGAAGGAGAACTGATTCCCACA